TCTATAGATATCATTTAAATCGAACATGTGTGTTTACTTGCACCTTCTGCTTTGTGTTCACTGTCATCATACACAATGACATTAGGTTCTGTCCATGCTGCACTCTCCTGACACCACCTTACAGTTTCTCAGTATTCTCAATTGGCATTTCTTACACAGGACAAAATACACCTGTAAATTAATGATTACATCAGTCTATCTTTCTATAGCCACAGGAATCGAATGAATAGAAAAATGCTCTGAAATCTGTGCTGCTGAACATTAGATGTCTCTGCAGAAAATAATACCTTCACTGATCTGCAAAGACTCAGCCTTTGGTGGATGCTCCTTTTAAATGTGATCTTAATGCACAAACATGTCCCCAATGACTTTCTTCTACAATACTACCTAATGAGTTAATGTTTAATATTCCGAAATAGCCTGTTAGTGATGGCAAATGTTAAATCTAATGGCTAAAAAATATGCATTGTAGATGACCTTGCAGGGATTTCAGATTGAACTGTTAAATGAATGAACCTGAGTTTTACACAGGTCACTACTGGATGTTTTTTTTCCTGTTGGTTTTATGTAAAATGTTTTCTACTCTCTGTATCAGTTTGGATTCAATTCTCTCACACCTTCCAAAATCTATGCAGGTCAGGTTTTTCTTCCACTTCAATTTTAGATTTTAAGGCAGAAAAGTAGTGGAGGATTACATCATACTGTATATGCAGCAAACCTGAATGCTGTGCCAAGCCATGTCTTTCCCCTTTCTCTACTGCAATCTTTTTTTTCTTGTCCTTATATATGTCATCATTTCCTAATATAATCCTCCTTGTCGGGCTCCTTGATTGAGTGGTAAAATCAACTTCATATCATATAGTTGTATTGAGGGAAAATTAGCAAAACAAATTGTACAAAAATGTCAAAAGATCAAATGTCTTTTTATGGTTTATTTGTGTTTTCTCTTTAAGTACTGGTTTCATTGCACCTCCCAATCATAGATCCAAACCTGCACACACACACACACACACACACACACACATACACACACACCACCAGTGACTAGTCTGGTCACATGTTGGCATGAATGTGTGTCCTCCAACTCCTCATGCATCCTCCAAATCACTAACACTACCCACCAGAATTCATCTGGACCTCTGTGGACAAGCTCCACTGATGGGATGAGGTTCCCCTCTGTCTCTGACCATCACTGACCTGTTTCCTTTGCTGGTTTCTGGTATTTCTAAGGTCCTTGGCTGTCTCCGTCCTCTTCATCACATGGTTTATGCTGGAGCTGGTGTTCACCACTGGCGGCAGCAGCAGCAGCAGACTAACGTCCCCATGTGTCGTGATGATGCGGTGAGCGCTGCCATGTTCTCCCTCTGTCTGCTCCTCAGTACCCGCCTCCCTCCATACAGGATCTGCTTGGCTTGGTGCTGATGCTGCTACTGCCGGCTAGAGCACTGGAGCTGCAGAAAGCCCTCCGAGATCAGAGAGAGAGAGAGGGAGAGAGAGAGAGGGGGGGAGAGAGGGAGCCGTGTTGATGTGGTGGAAATGATGGAGTGGGGGTTGATGTGTACATGCCGCCTTCACACAGACTGCAAGAGAATTATGGACACAAATGTGAAAGTCACAGCTGCAGATGCAGCCTCACTGTGACTCTGTCTGCTTTGTTCTCACATCTATCTATCCATCTATCTCTATCTCCCCCCCCCCCTCTCTCTATCTATCTATCTCTCTCGCTATCTATCTATCCATCTATTCATCTATCTATCCATCTATCTCTATCTCCCCCCCCCTCTCTCTCTCTATCTCTCTATCCATCTCTCTCTCTCTCTCTATCTATCTCTCTCTCTATCTATCTATCTATCTGTCTGTCTGTCTGTCTGCCTGTCTATCTATCCATCCATCCATCCATCCATCATGTTAATTTAAATGTACATTAAACCCGTGCATTATATTAGCTTATAAAATAATATGCAGTGTGCAGACCTGCCACCTCCATTTATAATGATTGTTGTAAACAATCAACATCTGACCAATCAGCAGTCGGTGTAAACATGGCATCCGAGTGACAATACCTGCTGGCAGTTCTATGGGGAGGCACTTGAAAGTCTTGCTTACGGCGTGTGGCTAGGTTTATGGAGGTGAATAGACTTGCTACACATGTTAGCACTGATCAGGTTTGAAGCTGTTGTGCACTGTATGTCCATAATTCCAATTGCTTTGTCATGGATCAGAGATCCATGGGGGGGCGTCATGGGCCACTCCTCAGGGTTTGACCCACAGGGCGAGAATCCCGTCGAGGTCAGCTCTACTGTTGATGTTAGGAGTGAACCACGCTCTGACAATCTTGTTCTAGCTCCGCTGAGTTAACCTTTAAAGCAAAAGGTGTTGATGTGCTAACGTTTCAGGGGGCTAGCTTCAGGGGTTTGCATGAAATCTTAAGGTATTGTCCTGTAGAGCAGTCTTCTGTTGCAGGAATACAGGGTACAGTGAGGCAGCTGTTATTGAGGAAAAACAAGCATCTTTATTGTCAATGTACATAAACATATAGACAACAAAATGTGCACTCTGGATATAAACCATCAAGCCATTCCTGTGGATGTCATCACAGCCTGCCAGGGTGGGTTTGGAGCCTGGGTCTTCCTATCTGCCCTCAGTACCTATCTTTATCTGTTAGTCTGAATGTTAGCTTTTTGCTGTATGAATATTTTCCATTTTTCTATTCTATTTAAAACATGGTCTTAATTTTATCTAAACAACAAGCATGCCACACACACCTGTGACATTAAGATAGACAACATGGTGCAGCTTCCTGGAAGCAGGTAAATACAGGTACTTCATCTATCATGTAGTACCATCAGGACACTAGTGTTGCATGATAAATGAAGCAAGACGCCTAGAATACCATTGAACATGGAAAACCACAATTTCAAAAGATTTTCAAATCCAAAGAATAATAACTGAGGCAGATCAACAGTCTGATCCGCATTAGTATACGAAGACATTTGTGTCGACAGCTGCTCTCTTATAAGGCCTCAATAGCTTCATCCTCCGTTGTTTTCGTTTGCTGCCATTCATCTGCTGAGTCTTCAGAGGTCTGAGGAGGAAGAGGACCACAGATTTGCATGGCTTATTTTGCTTGGCTTATTTGACTGACAATGGATTTTAAGTTATCTCACCTGATCAAAGTCACAGCCATCGGCCGCCACTGACCCCAGGTCAATGTCATTGTACTCACATGAATTCTATGGTGTGGGTTAAGACATGAAGGCAGACAATGGAATCATGTTAAAATGGGACGGTGGGAAAGTTAGAATGATAGAGATGAAGACGATATGACTGACCAGTTCTTCTCCATAGGCAGCCTGGGTTTTCTTTATCCCCACGAGCAACCTACGAGAAAACAGCCAGGTGTCCATTTCCATAAGGCAAAAATCATAGCCATTCACAGTATAGGCCTTTTGCCTTTAACTCTGTTGCTAAGTTTTCAAGATCTTCATAAATTGTGATTTTAGACCAGAATGTTTTCACAGCTCCAATGGACATTGAACACTTAGTGTTCTGAAAAGTACTATTGTACAAACAAGGTTAGATACACTTGCCACTTGTACCATTAGATGGCAGTAATTATAGCTGCACCGATGAGTGTTTATTATAATAATAATAATAATGAAACAGAAATATCTTACAAAGGTTTTTCTTCTCGTTTTCTTTGCCCTACAAATGATAAATAGAAGTAAAATTAGTGTTTAAAGACACAGAGGAAGGCTGGAATTTCAATAAAAGTACACATGAGAACTCACAGTATACCACTCCACAACAAATTAAGATCAGGAGAATTATCAAGGCGAAGCATAGAAAGACAGCTGCCACGACCAAGACAGGGAGACGGGTGGAGATGAAGGAAGAAAAAGAAAGGAATTAGGAAGTTTCCAGAAGGTAATATAAGAAGTCAGGAATAAAGTGTACCTTCTTTATCCAGATATTTCTTTTTGCTGCTTATAGCGGTGGTATTGTCAAAGCTGTCAGATACTAAACAGTGATATGTTCCAGCGCTACTCTTCCCCACAGACATCACAAGTATGGATTGTTCTGGCGCCTGGTTAAAAATGTAGTAGAAGCTTCCTCGATCTTTCAGGAGGGTGTTGTTGTGAAACCACTGGTAGCGTGGATGAGATCCTCTTGCCACCTTGCAGTATAACCTCAGGCCAACGATAGCAAAGTTTTCTCCCACATCGTAGTCATAGTGCAGAGACACATGCCCGCCAACTGGGACTAAATGAGAATTATTATTGTGAACCTAGCTTTTAAAGAAATTCAATAAATGATTCTATCATCTGTATTTAAACACAGACCAAAACCTGCCTAAAGCCTATCTTAGAACCAGAACAGCAGCTAAATGTTGCCCAAAACATTAGAAAATAAATAAACTAAAAACTACAATCATGTCAATCATGACACTATATGCATAAATATATACGTATATTTAATTATTATGAATATTAACATTTATCAAAAACGCAAGTTCCTCACACTAATACATACCAAAATGTATGGAAATCTGCTGACTATGCGTGACATTGACTCCATTGTCTGCCTGGCAATGAAAAATTCCCAAGAATTGATCCGTAAGCACTGGGACTTTGAATGCAACACCTCTGTGGTAAGTTTTCAGGCTGGTCAAGAACTCTGTTTGTTTGTAAAGTGAAAAGGTGATTGGTGGTGTCCCAGTGGTGGACTGACATATGACCACAGCAGTGTAGTTGTTGGAATCCTCCTTTACCACGGTGTAGGAGATTTTAGGGGGCGACACTGCACCTACAAGATCACTCAGTCATTAGAATGCCTGTCTTCAGTAAAGCACAAATTAGCAAACAAAAATAAGCCAAATAATAAGCCACAACAAATGTCCAAGAAGTGCACTCTGTGTAGTACTATTAGTAGTAGTATTGCAAAATGATGGGTGTCTCAGATGGTTGCAAAAAGAACTCCATTTGCATGAAGGTCTTTGGGAAAATGAATCTATATTCAGAAATGTAAAGTAACAAAAGTACTTTACTGATCCCTTCAGGTTTCTCACTTGTTACTGCAGCATCATTAGATTCATGTTCGTCCTGGGATCAATGAAGTACTTTTCTAATACTGTCTGGTGCAGACAATTCTTAGTCCCATGTCAGTTGATAGAACATAATGTTCTTTTTAAAAGTAATCTAATTCACAGGAGGTTCTGAGGAGAACTGGGACAGACCAATAAGACCTGTTCTAGGTATAACCTATCTAGATAATAAAAATAGGGACAGGTTTTGCCACAAGATGGCCCCATCCATTTCTCACATTTAGTTATAGTTTGAAACAACACACTGAAAACAGACAAAAGACCTTTGACTGTGATTAGAACTGGAGGGCTTCTGCTTGTGAACGTGTAGGCTTCGCTGTCATTGAACCTGTTGGTAGCCTCACACTTGTAGCGGCCGCTGTCAGCCACAGTGGTTCTGAGGGTGACATAGAGTATACATTGAACTATTCAAATACACATACTTCTTTCTGGTTTGTCATGTGGGCAGCGAGAAAATTCGACTACAGTATTAGCATTTAGTACAAATTTTACTACAAATATTGGTTCAAAAAGGTAGAATGAGATATCATTACAGAGAAATTACAGATTTGGTCAGTGTTTTACACCTTAGGATATAACAATATTTAACATCTGTATTCTTTCACTTTAATTAATATGAACCAAGGATGAATGTAATGCAGCATATGAAAATGCTGTAGCTGAACTGGCGCTTCTTGATTGATGGCTGCGATCATGTGACTGCACAAGTGGCAGCTACTAAAATGTGTCTGCAGTTGCCAGAAGTTTTATGTTATGTCAAAATGGGTTCACCAGCCAAAAAGGTTGGGAACTACTGGACTAGGTGAACAGTTGTGAAATTTACTAAAAGTAAAAACAGCAGTACTTACGCTACAGCACAGAATTGTGAAACCGGTGGTTTATGTTTTCAGTTTGTAGTAAACAAATTGTCCATTTAATTGTCACCACACCCTTAAGCCAGCCATACTAACCTGCGTATCACGAGAAGTTGAGAGGAATACGTCTCATTTTTCTGGAGGATGAGCTGGTTGTTCAGCAGCCATTTGTAGGACACATTATTCCCAGCTTCAACTTTACAAAGGAGCACCAGTGGCTGATCCTCCATGAACTCTTTTTGATGTGACAAGACTTCAATAACTGCACCTTTAACTGGCACTGTAGACAGATAACAGAAGATTCAAACACAACGTGAATTCACAAGGCTCACGCAGTCGCTAACCTCGCTAACATGAACGCTCACCAATAACTTTTAGGTAGTGTGATTTGCTGAATGTCGGGTTTATGTTGGAGCGGTTCTGAACTCTGGCTTCACACTGCAGGTTTCCTTCATGTGATGGTTTGATGATCAGGATGAAGATTCCAGGCTCTCCAGCCAGTGATGTGGATTCAGTCAACCAAATGGTATCATTTCCTCTCCTGCAAAAAAAAAAAAAAAAAGAAAGAAGAGGGACTTAATGATTCGCTAAGGTAAAAATGATCTGACAGGTTTAAAATGTTAAAGATTAAAATACACAAATTCAAAGTTTGATGGTAGAATTGACGTATAAATGTCACCACTAGGAGTGCTAACTAGCTAAATCTGGAAGTTTTGGTACAAGGTTTTTGCATCGTACCAGGCGTAAACAAACTTTTTGACTCGTGGGCCACAATTGTCCTAAAATTGACTGGGGGGCCGGGTCAGGAGCAGAGAGATGCAGCGTTCATGTGAACTAAGATAAATGACATGTAAAAGTCATAAAGGCTAAAATGCCTTTAAAAGTTTCTAGGTCATCTATTGGGGAAATGTGGGTACTGCAGTGAAGAGGCAGAGGTATAATGATAATATAAATAAATTATATAATTTGGAAAAGTTTGGCGGGCTGGATTAAACAGCTGAATGGGCAGCATCTGGCCCCCGGGCCTTAGTTTGCCCATGCCTGCATACCTATGATAAAAAAGTATTATGTAATGGTTTGTTCCTAACGGTATGTTAAATAGTAATAAATTATTTGTTATTCATAGCCAGTCCCTGCCATAATGGGCTGTGTCCCAGTCTAGAATGATACAGTCTACCTTGTAGAATGACTGAAAAATGCCATCAATCCAGATGTTTTTTGACATATTGACTAATTATGTTTATACTTGTGCAGAGGTTAAATGTTTTTCTATTTCTTATTTTTGGTTCAACCCATTTTGGTGGAGGAAATAAACATTTTCATTTAAATGATTTTCAAGAATGATATGGCGCTGTGTTCACCGGCTGACACGCCACCATCTGTCTGCTTTTTCCCGTTTCTCTTTTGTGACTGTGACGCCTCAAGGGAGACATGTTTTCCAGACAATGAACATACACACACAGACAAGTTATTTACTCTACAAAACAAGGACATACATTTAATGTATGTTCTAAACAGTTCACACTGGTTTTTATATTTAAATGAACTAATGGCTAACTAGAATTATAATATTCTAAAAACTTCTATATTCACAGATGACGTGGGGACTCACTTCAATAACGTCAGCAGAACAGATTCGTTCTTTGGAGGATGGGGAACTTCACATCTAAAGTTTTCGATTGTGTTACTTAAGGCCTCTGAAGGGCCGTACAGTCGTGGAACCCCCAGGAACGCCTGGGCTATGGAAAAGATGAGGTCAAACTTCACAAACACTGAACATGCAGAACACCAAGAAGAACTGACTCATGCAGTATGTCCGATCACACACACACTCACACACACACACTTACTGTAGTTGGTGCAGAAGCCCAGACCTGTAGAGAATAAAGGTTTCAAGAGTGAATAAGACCCACGTCACACGTGTGTGTGTGTGTGTGTGTGTTTTGTGTTGCTGAGCTCACCGAACACGACCACAAAGACAGAAGCAGACATTCTGGAGGGGACGACACCACACTGTACGCTGCAGTATTTTGACAGTTAAAAATGCAATGACACCAACACACACACACACACACACACACCAGCAAATAAGTGGCGTTATCAGATGGTCTCCGCCTCTCTGCTGCACGCTCTCTTCAAGTAAACAAGTTCAGTTTTTCAATTTCACTTTACTTGGTGGGAGAATTATTTATTCAGACATGTCAGTTGATGTTGTCAGTCTGTGACTCTTTATTGATGATAAAAAAAAATCAAAATAAAACTGCTGAAAAAACAGCAATGCTATACAGTAGTTCTAAGAATACGTTATCTGTATGTATATATTGTGTATAAGTGTCGTAACAAATAACTTCATAAGTCAAGTAGATAAATATAATTCAGATCACAACACTGCAGTCGTTGAAGGTTGAAGTGCTGGGTATGGTCGTTTCAGATTTCAGATGTCGTGCTTCATTCTTCATTTTACACAGAACACCTGAAACACACACAGATGGAGCATTTGTAAAAAGTCACATGTCCTAATGTCCATGTCCACATAATAATCCCATCTAATCAGAATGGAGATCTTTACTAAACTACAGCAGAAACTTTTTTGCAGACCAGTAGCACCATGCCGATCGTTGAAGGATCATTGAATTTTAAAAAAAACAAACAAACAAAAGGTCTTTTAGACTTCATTCTGTTAATATCGAAGTCTTAATGACAAATTATTTAGAAATATTGCCAGATTATCTTTAGGTGAAGGAATTAAAATGACTGTCTCCCACTGCGGCCTGCTATCAAATGACCTATGGACCGGTACCGGGCCACAGACCGAGGGTTGGGGACCCCTGAATGACAGTATATAACAATTCTGTCAGTACACCCAAAAAGACAACAATTCTGGTGAGGTCACACACAGTTTGTTTAGTCGATAAAATAATAACAAATAGAAACCATTTCTAATTATTACTTGAAAATTAATGATAAACTTCTGGCCTGTGAACTCCCACCTCCCCCACCCCCCCCCCCCCCATCTAGCTCCTGACTAAAAGTCAATAATTATATTTTTTCATCTTAAGGTTGCTCTTCCTTTTTTTTTAGAAATTACTATTTAATAATAATAGAACTATTTCATATAGAATTTAATTTTTAATAAAAAATAATAATAGACCTGCAATAGTTGGTCATTTAAGGATGAAAGTACAACATGTGTACTCTGTACTGTAGTATTATAGAGTATTATAGCTTATTTGCATTAGAGACCCCTGTTGTGTGTGAAGAGACACAATGTGTATGTGCAGTGTATATATATATATATAGAGAAAACAAATCTAAATATTTTAAAAGAGAATAATCAATTTTTAATGTAATAATTAAGAAAATGTGGGAACATGTATCTACTAAGTGGCGCTTTGGCCCAGAGGCAATGTCTCTGTCATTGGTGTGGAACCCCAGGGTTCACCTCCTGGGCAAGTTCGAATCCAGGTTAGGGCGGTTGGTACCTTCCAGTGGACTCACCACCTGCAGGAAGGTTTGGGGGGTTGGTACGGTGCAGTGTGATTTGGGTGGTGACTGCTGCCCCCCCGACCCGGTAACGGATAAGCGGATGAACATGGATGGATGGATGGATGGATGGATGTATCTACTACTGGATACATACTCACAGAAGGTAGACTGAGTCTCATCCTGTTTGTTCGAAGTCGGCACTGGACTGAGGACTGGAGGTCTCGACAGAGGAAATGCATCAGAACTGATGAGACAAGAAGGCGTAAACGAGGTCGAACTGCAACGACGGAAATGTTTTTCAATTCCACTAAGGTGGATCAAGCTTACTGTGTCGTATCCACTTGGGCCTGAGCTGAAAAAGACAGAAGAGACTTTTTAGTCAAGTGTTATCATTCATTTCTGAATATAAGATTCACAGAGGCAAACACACCCCGGCCTTGATGAAACATCCTGTAAACCAAGGCTGTGCCCAACGCCATCATCAGGAGAAGGAAGCAGAAGAACCCGAGAGCAATCTTCTCGATTGTACACGTGAAAACTTCTGTTTCAGAGAAAAAAGCAAATCATTGACGTGTGACAGACCTGAAGGACCAACAGGAAAGTACATGAGCGTCCAACAGGACTAAACCTGATTGAAATCAAGAATTACGCCATAATGATCTTCTGTTTTTTTCTCTACCTGTGACTGCGATCAGCACAGCTTCACTCTCCAACCAGGCCCCTGTGTCATCGTAGCTGTTCCGGACCCTGCAGCGGTAAAACCCAGAGGTGTCTGATTCCAGTTTGGTCAGGACAAGCGTTTGTCCAAGGTTGGCAAAAGCATAATAATTTGGGACAGACGGAAGGTGGGCGCCGATGTGTGTCTCCGAGCTGAGGACGGAGTCGTTGAAAGTCCAGGATGTGTGAGGAAAAGTTCCTCGGCCGATCAGACATCTGACTGTGACCATGACCAGTGTGGAGTCAGCACTGTAGAGATACTCCACCTCCACCTTTACATCACCTCCCACAGGGACTGGGTGATGAAAGATGAAAGATGAAGATGAAAATGAATGGTCAACATCACTAGCTATACATAGAGTTTAGAACGGGGGTGTCACACATATGGCCCGGGGGCCAAAACCGGCCCGCTATGGGGATCTATCTGGCACGCTCGATGAATTTTGAAAGTAAAAAAAAAATGCACAAACACTTCATGTTTGTGATGTTTTCTCAAATGATATTTCATGAAATATGAATATTTACTAATATATTTGTACTTCTTTGCACGGAAACTAAATGGAAAAAAATGGACTTACAGTTATTTATAGGTAATTATGTTATAATTTTACTGGTCTGATCCACTTGACATCTAATCAGGCAGGATGTGGCCCCTGAACCAAAATGAGTTTGACACCCCCGGAACAGAAGATGGCGGTAGAGAGAAGTTCATGATACATTTTATAAACACTGGGCTTAACAAAATAAAAAAAA